GCTCGGCCGCAGCCCCGGCCTGGCCCGACGCAGGCACGGCGGGCGTGATGGTGTCCCTGAGCCGCATCCTGACCAAGCTGCTGCTGCGGGGCGAGCGGGCCAGCACGCTCATCTTCTTCCTGGTCTCCGTGGGCCTCGAGCTGCTCTGCTTCCTGCTGCACCTGCTGGTGCGCCGCAGCCGCTTCGTGCTCTACCACACCTCCCGGCCCCGCGCCCACCACGACCGCGACGCCCTCACGCTCACGCTCACGGGAGACGGCCCCTTCGTGAGTCCCTGCCGCGCGGTGGGGCGGGGCCACGGCCCGGACCTGGGCGCTGCCCTGCACGTGGGTGTCATCCGTGTCTCCCAGCTCTGACCCCCCAGGGGTCGTCTGTGCTCCATCTGTGGTCTGAGGCTGTTCCTCATGGTGACCCCACTCCCCCATCATAACCCCACGTCCGTGTGGCTACCGCACGTCTCTGATCTGAAGCCCCTCCAGCGGCCATGTCCCATAGACCTGCACGTGTGACCCCCCCAGCCTGCTTCCCCAATCTCCTGTGCCCTCTCTGGGCCCTGCCCTGCTGCCTACACCTGTGTCAGGTCCCTCTTGCCCACCATGTTTGCTAGAGATGGGGCAGATCTGGAGGGAAATGGAGTCTTGCTTATGCCTGGGCTCCACCGGGGGAGGGGTCAGGAGAGGGTCAGGCCTCACCAGAGAGGACACTGGGCAGCCAGGCCGGTGGGATCAAGAGGGAGCCGGAAATCAGAACTCCCCCAGCCCCCAGGCTCACTGTGCTGCCTCCCCCACCTCACTCACACCACAGTACATCTGGCCCAGGCACCAGCCCTGCCACCCTGGGGACCCTGGCCACCCACCAGCAGGCAGGGCCACTCTAAAGGCGCTGGGCGCCCTCTGGTGGTGGTGTGCCGCCATGCTACCCAGGACCCCAAAAGAGCTGGACTGAGGGGGACCTCGGCTTCTCATCCAACGTCTTGTCAGCAAAGCAGAGCCGAGCTGGGGTGCTCACAGAGATCTTGTCTGGTCACCTGGCCCTGAGCTGGGAACACTGCCCTTGGTCAGAGAGGGCTGCAGACCAGGCAGCCGGGCGTATGACGAGACCCACTCTAGACATGGATGGGCTGAGAGGGGGACGTGGACCCTGAATGACCAGGGAGCTTCCAGGAAGGCAGCAGCGGGAGGGAAGGGCATTAAGGGTGGAGGGACAGTGGGTGGGCAGCTTCAGGAAGGACAGTGAGGTCACCGTAAGGTCTTGGTGGCCTAACAGAGCATCTTCCTGTGTGCAAACTCCACCCCTGCTCCCTCGGCAGATGAAGGAAGCGGTTCTATTTTGACAGTCCATCTCTAATCCCAGGCCTGTGGCCCTATTTAGCTGTGACGGGCCACGGGGTCCCTGTGGGTGGTACATTCATGCCCCCCTCCCCCATACCTGACCCACACCTCCATCCTCTCTGTAGGAGCACCAGGCCCCAGTCCTGGCTAGCAACGCATCCCCTAAGGACAGCCCATCACATGAGGTGACCAGTGGTGGGGGTGGAACCTACATGAGGTTTGACGTGCCTCGGGCCAGGGTCAAGCGGAGCTGGCCCACCTTCAGAGGTGAGAGGTTCCCCACCCTTGAAGGGAGCAACCTGGAGGCCCCAGGAGACCCCTTCCCCATGGGGACCCCACCTCTGTAATCTGAAACCCCCTCCCTAGGATGCCCCCTACCTCTGTGGCCTGAGCGCCCCCACCCCATCCCCTATGATTAAAGCCCCCAACCTGTGGTAACCTCCCTCCCCTGCAGTAAACCACATCTGTGGCCTCAGCCCCTCTCTGTGGTAACCCCATCTCTGTGGTCTGAGGCCCCCAGCCTGTGGTCACCCTTGTTTGTGGTCCAAAGACTCCTCCAGCAACCCTAGCCCACCTGGGAGCCTCGGTCAGCCCATCCTCAGAGCAGGTGGGAGGCGGGCATGGGGGCCCTGTCCTGCCGGGGCACTGCCCTCTGGCCCTGCCCCTCCCCCAGCCCTGCTGCTGCACCGCTACGTGGTGGCGCGGCTCATCTGGGCCGACATGCTCTCCATCGCTGTCACCTACTTCATCACGCTGTGCCTGTTCCCCGGGCTGGAGTCCGAGATCCGGCACTGTGTCCTGGGCGAGTGGCTGCCCATCCTCATCATGGCCGTGTTCAACCTCTCGGACTTCGTGGGCAAGGTAGGCCCCGCCCCTGCACTGTCGTGTGTGTGTGTGTGTGTGTGTGTGTGTGTGTGTGTGTGTGTGTGTGTGTGTGTGTGCGCGCGCAAGAGGGAGCAAGGCTTTAACAAAATGCACTTCTGACTCACAACCACCCTGGAAGACAGCGCGAAGGCCCCGGAGGGTTTCCAACAGGGCCGTCTTGGCAGAAGCTGACTGCTATCTTTTCCCTCGTGAGTGACTGGCGGGTTCAAACCACTGACATTGTGGCTAGCAGCCAAGGGCCTGCCCACTACTCTACCAGGGCCCTTGTGCAAAGCTGACCCAGGCCACCCTCACTGTCAGGGGTACATTCTGGCTCGATGCCACCCTAGAGACTCCATCCCCCCCCCCCGACCGACCATCGTTTATATGTGTGTGTGTGTGTAAATCATTTTGTTGGGGACTCTTACAGCTCTTAATGGAATCCATATATCCATTGTTATGAAGCGTATTTGTACATGTTACCATCATCCTTTTCAAAACATTTTTTTACTTGAGCCCTTGGTATCAGCTCCTCTTTTCCCCTTCCCTCCTACCTCATGAAGCCCTGATAAATTATAAATCACTATGTTCATATCTTACACCATTTGCTGTCTCTGCTGTTCGTCCCCCAGGGTGGGGGTGGGGGCGGTATACATCAATCACTGCGACCCATTCCCCATTCTCCCTACCCTCATGGTTTCACTACTTCCATTACTGTTGATGGGAGGGGTTGTGGGGAGCAGCTGCCTCAGCTTCCTCCCAGTGGGTCCAAACCGCGGAGCCCATAGAGCCTCCAGGGTTCCCTGAGCAAGGCTTGGGGGGACAGAATCCAGCTGCTTCCTAGCTGGGAGGCGTGGGTGACGGAGGGTCCCCTGGGTCCCAGGGACCTCGTTCTCGAGTGAGTCAGCCCACCTCGCAGGAGAACGGTGAGCATGGAGCGAGGGAACACGTGCGCAGTGCTTACAACGGTGCCCGACTCTGAGGGGTGCCCCGGTGGTGGAGTGGGGTACGCGTTGGGCTGATAGTCACGGGGTCAGCAGTTCAAAACCACCAGCCACACCCCGGGAGGTCACCGCCTTGGGAACAGTTCTACCCTGGCCTGTCGGAGACGACTCCACGGCAAAGCTGTTTGTTGTGTGGCTTTGTGACGATCACGGTGTGCCCACAGACGCAGCGTCCACAGGTGGTGTGTGGGGCAGCAGTGGTTCGAGGCAGAGTGACTGGCCCCGTCCACATGGGAGACCCAGGGGAAGACACCAGCCCCCGCCGGCCCGTGGGGTTTGGCATGCTGCTAAAAAGCTGAAACGGGTTCCGAGGGAGAGTCTAGACAGACAGGAAGAAAGGCCTGGCGCTTCCGAACACCAGGTCAGCGTTTTGTGCCCGAGCCACCGTGAGCCCCGGCCGCCTGAAGGCAGCTCACAGCAGCAGCTGGAGTGAGTGGGTTGTGGGGAGCAGGGCAGAAGGGCGCCCGGGCAGGGGCACGCCTGAGCTAGAGCAAGCAGAGCTTCGCATGTCTGCGGTCAGCACCCACACACCCGGCTCCTCGCAGATCCTGGCGGCCCTGCCTGTGGACTGGCGGGGCACCCACCTGCTCCTCTGCTCCTGTCTCCGGGTGACCTTCATCCCCCTCTTCATCCTGTGCGTCTACCCCAGCGGGGCGCCCGCCCTCCGCCACCCCGCCTGGCCCTGCATCTTCTCCCTGCTCCTGGGCATCAGTAATGGCTACTTCGGCAGTGTGCCCATGATCCTGGCGGCCGGCAAAGTGGGCCCCAAGCAGAGGGAGCTGGCAGGTAAGGCCCTGACCCTCACAGGTCCGGGAGGGAAACTGAGGCCCGACAGTGGGAGCCATGGCCAGTCAGGGAGAAGACGAGCCTGACCTCCAGGGTGGGGTCAACCGCAGGGGGCTCAGAGGTGTGGGGACAGTTCAGCCCCTGGTGCAATCATTCCACAATGACTTACTGAGCCGCCC